AAAAAAAATAAATAAAATAAAAAAAAAAGATGTCCACTTTACGATTGTGTACTTAGAATTTTATTATCTTGAATAGTTTTTGAGCAATTTCTTCCAGGGGTACCCAAAAGGGCGTTTAATGGCGCATCTTGCTCCATAAAAATTTTTGTGGGGGGTAAATTTCGATCGGGTTATGAATTTTCGGACTGAAAGACAAGAGGAAACAAGTGTAATTGTATATGATCTAAGATTTTTCTAATTCTACCTTAACTTGCTTTGTTTTTAAGAAATGGTGACTAATGAATATCTTCGGAGTACGGGAGGGGAGAGGGGGGGAGTTAGGTTTTTGCGCCATCGACCTTGAGGTGATATGAGAACTCCTGATTCCTTCTCATCCAATAAAAAGTGACCACCTTAAGGAAACACAAAATTGGTCTTTCCGTTTTGAATCGGCCCATATATAAAATGTACATTTATGTTGGAAATTTTGTCTAGAATCATTGCTCAGTGTTTGACAATCTAGAAAGATTATGATAATAACTATAAAAATCGAGTTTTGGAAGTTCCGAAATGTAATTGTTGGTTCCGTCGATGGCTATTTAACTTTTGCTGAAAACAAATACCACCCTCGCTGCTGGAGGCCGATATCGACGGAGGGAACCCAAGACCGCGGACCAACTTTCACCGATATATTCGCAAGCGTTGCCGAACAGCTGCATAATTACCCAGGGTGCATCTTCCGCTTTCCCATCGCGGCTCCAGGTCACCGCGCATCTCGCTTGTACTGTGTGCCTTTGTGGCCATTAAAGTCTCTTTTATCTCTGCCTATTATTCTCCACGGCGAAACTGTTTACGGCGGAAGTTTACATTAATGGCCGTTTTATTGCAAGCAATAAACTCTAGGGGAGGATTCGATCGAACCGGAAACCGAGAGCGTAGGTGGCACTAAAGCCACTTATTTAATATCCTCTCTTAGTTCGGCCATTAAATATACAATTCTACATGAAGTAGTCCATTTACCTTTTCGTCATCGTAAAAACTGAACCCAGACAACGGAAACATCTAGGAAAATTGTAATAGCTGTTGCATAAAACTATTATTATCTCGAGGCAACCTCTTTTCTCTTTTGCTTCACATGTTGCTGTTTTTATGAAAAATATTACGGCTTGAATAACGGGACAACTCGAAACACTGTTCCATCTAAGAATAAAATATAAAAATCCATTTCTATAAGAAAATTAAAGAAAACTATTATATTCCAATCAGTACTACTCTTCGATAGTTACCTTTCTCCCCTCCCCTTCACTAATGCACTCCACGTATAAGGGACAACAGCTAAATATGTTTATTATAATTAATAAATTATATTAATACAAACATTGTATTAATATACAATATATCATTAACGTAGTCTATTCAACACACACAAATTGTTACCCTAAATATACTTAATCAGGGCATAGAATGTCGCATTAGAAAATATCTCTAGAGTTAAATAGTTAAGGAATAAGTCATGGCTATTCCAGAATTATACTACCATAAATAGGCGCAGATTGTCCATTTTAATTGGAAGAGCTATGGATCAAAATAAATAAATAAAATAAAACAAGTAAGGTATGTGGTTTAGACCACAAGATAGAAGCGAAAATATCAACAAGACGAGATTAACGATATGAAATATAAATTATAAATAACAGCTCATGAAATGCTGAACATTTCCCTCTCTTACAGTATGTAGGTCCGATTTTCAGTTCCTGAGATATTTAATCGATATCTTCAATAAAACTCGTTATCATTTGGTTTCCGACATTAATTTTTCCCTCTTCGCCTGTCTAACACGGCGACGCATTCAGATACAATTTTGAATAACAGCTTCTTACAGAGAGGATGAAATGCTGAACAATTTCCTCACTTACAGTATGGAGGTTCGATTTTTAGTTTCTGAGATATTTTAATTCATACGCAAACTCAACTCCAGCCGACTTTACCCTAGTGTTAAAATCGGAAATCTGAGGGCTAGATCTAATTTACTCTTCACAAAAAAAGTGCAAAACACGTCTAAAGAAGATTTCACTTAAAAAAAAAAGGCAGTATTTTATATGACATATAAAAACTTTAACATAATTATTGTTAAAGGAACCGGGAACACACTTCATAACATAGGTTCATAACATTCCTACAACATTTCCAACTAAAAATGAACAAAGTTAAAAGAAAAATATTTTTGATTTCTTAGTTTACACAACATAAAATAAAAATACAATGTTTTCACTGTCTAACTAGTTATGTAAAGATGTCTATAAAATATATTTATACTTGTACTCATTTAATACATTTTTGAAGTGTCCACATGAAAGGCGAATGAACCATCAAATCCAAGGAAATGTTTCTATATTATATTCCTGATTGATAATATATAAATTATTCAATGACTCTTATTAAAGTCACTAAAGGAATTTAAGGATCGAAATTTTAAATCATCACGTCTCTTTTGTTTGATTTCTCATCCTTAAATTTCATCCTCAGAGCCTCGAAAAGGGATCTAAAGAGAAATCTTTCTTTCAGTATGTTTTTAACATCCTTGGTCCGTCATAGCAAATGCAAATAATTATGACTAATTAATCCGTGAATATAAATAACATGTTCTATAAGAGGGAACTAAATATTGTTCCGGGCATCGGAGTCTCCAGAAGCTGAGAGGTGGTGAGTGCCATCGACTCCTGCAGGACCCAGTCACGCACAGCTCCTCATTACCCGAAGAGTGGCCACGCGACGAGCGGCTAATGGGCCGAGGTGATGGAGGATGCTCCGGGACGGCTCGTTATCTAACACCTGGTGGCTCACCCAGCCTCTGTCCCCCGCTACCTGTCGCTAATTATAAATTCAATCTGCGAGCCTCCCCCCCACCGACTAGCAGCCATGTGCTCTCGCTGCCTGGACACGGCACCCTGTCGAAGGGCTACGTCGCGATCCTGGCGACCCGGGATTTAGGTCGCTGACCTCACGACTCTGATATTTACAAGGGAACAAATTCTACTTACAGCTGTACTCTATTCTCTTCAACGGGTCCTTATTTATCTGTTAGGATAACTTTTATATATCTAAAGTTGGTGAAAAAGATGTAAAATAAATGATCATGCTTGAATTTTTAAGTGATATCATAAAAGTTAACAGTCAATTTTATCAGAGAAGAAAGATTTAAAGAATATTTGACTCGCTTATTTACAAAATGAACTTCAATCATTATTAAGTTTTTTAGGAAACGCGAAAACATATACATTTTAATATCAAACCAATTATATCAATAGTAATCAAAAATATGCAAATAGAATAATATCCTTATTGGAAAGAATAAGAACCGTATTTAAAATAAATAAATAAAAAATAAAATAAAAACGGCTGATCGTGGTTCTGTTCAGGAAAAAAATGGTGTATGATACGAGGAGGAAAAATTATAAAAATTGTACAATAAAAAATTAATTTTTTGTTTATATATATTTTTTTAATGAATACTCAAGTAATGAAAGTTTCATTAAATTTCTTGTTATTAATTACGGTTCACTTTGGAAATAAGCGACTCACTATCTGAATTTTCTCTCTTATTAATTAATTTAATCGTGAATCATGGAAAATCCGACAGAATAGGCGAAACATTACTGGTTGGAAGCCTTAAGGATTATTTCAAAAATATGAGCAACAAAACAAAAGATGATCCCGAGTCCGTTATAATCGATATTTACATCCCAATTCTTTAAGGATTAAAAATATCGATGCCCGATAAATGGAAATTGTTTTAGATAAATTTAATTAATATTTCGATGTATCGCAAAGCAACAGGAACGATAAACAAATCGATATTTGCATCCCTAACCTAAAGGAGGGAGGGCGTACCACGATCAACGAACTGGCTCCTCCCACTTCCTTCCGTTTCCCGTTCCCCTTTAAACCGTCTTTAAAGGAACTCTTCGCCATTTAAAATCCTCAAAGGCCACTTCTAGCGAGCTGGGTCCGCTGTTCCGATATTTCACTGGCGGACATTTCTGATATAAGGCGGCGGCCTTTAAATAATGTTATCTTCTTAATTCTAAATGACGATTCCTCTAAGGCGACAAAAAAAAAATAATGCACTTTCATTAATGAGAAATAATTGACGATATTGTTAGCATCGAACACTAAGTTTATTGTTGTGTACTTTGCCATACTCCCCATCGTGTTCATGTCCTTAATATATATCCGAAAATAATCTTTCTTCTTTACTGTTAAAAATCAATTAATAACAACAAAGATAGTGAGTTATACAAACTGGCTGATAAAATGGAAATATCTGTTTCTTCTTACCTATAATGAATGAAATCAGTTTTTATTATATTTCTAAAACTAAAACAAAATGAAAGCCAGTAAAGAAGTATGGCTCGAAATAAACAAGTATAAAACAAAATATATGGTTAACTGAAAAAATGGTTATATCAATATAAAAGGGAATATGTTTGAACATGTAATGAAGTTAGAAAAAACGAAATTGAAGAGGAGATTAAGGTTAGGCTGAAATGCTTATTGTTTTTCTGCGACAAAATTTAAAAATTAGAATCTATAAAACTATTATCTTACGTATAGTTCATTATAGTTGCGAAACGTGGTCGCTTACATTAAGGGATGAAAAACTTGTTAAGGTTTTTAAAATAAAGTATTGCGTCGAATATTCGGACCGACGAAGGAGGATGAGTTATCCGGAGAGACGTCAACACAACGCTGAATTTCGTGAATTGTATCCGGTTAACATAATTGAGGTGATTACATGGAAGCGAATTGTTGGATTTAGTAACAAAAGAATTCCTAAAAGATTAATAGTTGCTGTGGCGATTGGTAATGTCGGCATCGAACCTTTGGGTTCGCGAAGCCTTTTATTATTGCGTATAGTAAACAATGTTGATGATGATGATTGCGAACCCGATAGATCAGCTGACTGCCGCTGCCGCGACCTCAAGAGCTAACGGGAGGCCCTAGCCTTGACCTCAGCGGCAATGGGGTAGGTCAGCTCTAAGGTCTACAGGATAGAACAGAATAGAACAGAACAGAATAGAATAGAATAGAAAATTGAACTTTATTCTCGGACTAAGTCATCTTAGAATAACAATGATGAACTAATGACATAACAATATGCAAACACTAAAATAAATAAAAAAACGTCTTCTAAGTAAGGCCAGTATAGCTTCCTCATCGTTTTCGTTGTATATTACAAGGTATACAATTTTTCGTATGAGAATAAAATCTCTGAGAGAAGCAGAATCGGAATAGCCGATTGCAGTTACCCTTCAACATTCAACAACAGAGGGTCGTATTTGAATATTCCATACTTGATTATGCTTAATAAAAAAATAAATAAATAAAATAAAATGCATACTGAACATGAATTTCAATACTGTTAGTTCAAAAGGTCTTATGTATAAATTTATTTATTGTTTTACAAGAATGCATGAAAACTCAATATTTCTGCGCTACAGTCTATAGCAACGCAGGTTTTTCGGCCGCCATTTTGAAACTAGAAGGCGAATAGTAATGTCGTTGAAGGAGGATGATCCTCGGGTGACCTCTGATTTTATATCCAAATTCGAAAAAAATCGGTCTAGTAGTTTCAGAAAAAATGCGCGGACGGCGGACGGCGGACTAGTAGTGCACATGTAAGAGAAAGTGTTGGACACAATTCAATGAAATTGACACTACATTATTTTTTCACCAAAGTCTACCTTTTATCTAACTTTGAGCCAAATCGAACGAGCCCTTTCTGAAATATTGGCATATCTAAAAATGTACGTTTGCGCGTGCGTAAGCGGAAGTGCTGGGTGGAATTTGATAAAATTGATATGGGACCATCTAGGCACCAATCAGCATAATTCCTGAAAATTTCATGAAGATTGGATGAACGGTACTAGGTGATATGCCCGTCACATCGATTTGACTACAGACAGACAGACACCGAACCAAATTTGATCCTTGATGTCTGAAACGTAAAACGCGAGTGAAAATTTTCGATTCTGAGCAAAAAAACTTTTTTTAATCTCTCGCACGAACACAATGCTTCCTTACCTTCTGTAGTGAGGAAGCAATAAAATCTTCTCAGGAATATTTGGAGTGTAATTGAAAAAAAAAAGTGTATATACAATAGTATGCTCAGCACTTATACTGTATGCACTTATACACGAAGTGCTTCAGATATTGAATTCAAAAATTATTTTCCTCCGATGTTATCAAAAAATTATATTGGATTTTCCACCAAATAATATTTTTATACTTATTTGTGAAAATTAGATGCATAGGTTTTAAAAAGACTTGTACTCACGGTAGAGGCTGGAAATACAGTCATTCAAGTGGGCGAATGACAATATATTGAAGCAAATCAACAGTGCACTCAGCCTAGTTGGCCAAAATTCAAATGGGGAAAGGGGGGGGGGCGGGCAAGGATCACAGCTGATCAAGGAACCCGGGTAAGGGTTTTGATATGAGGGTGGTCTAAGGCGGCTTTACTTACAGGCACAGGCGAATATACGGGGAGGGGGGGGGGTGGCTTTTGGGATGAAGACCCCCAAAATGGTAAAATATAACCGCGTTTTATGGAAAAAAATATTAAAACATTTTCTCTTGTTCGTATAATTAATTACATTTCATATAGATAGTTAGTTTCTTTATTTTCTTCCAAAGTAATCATCGTTATATTTGAAAAAATAAAAAGCTTTCTGGCTGAAACTCCTCATCCAAAATTAAATCCTGAATCCGCTAGTGCTTACAGAAACAAATCTTATTTTTTGGGGGGTTGATATCTTCAGTTTTTTGGGAATGACATACCTTTTAAGAAATATCGTTACTGTAAGTGCAAAAGGTCGTAAGTAAAAATTTTAAATTTTTATTCTATTTGTGCTAAAGGTGACATTCCAAAGGTAGTCTGCTACTGTGGGGCTACTATATCCAAATATAGCAGAGAGCAATAAAATAAGAAAGTATACTTTTATAAAAAAATCATTCACTCAGGAGAAGTCTCCTTCTACTCCTGGAAGGAACAACAGGACTCCCAGCGCTTCTCACCCAGCTGCATTACCGGTATTGAGTGGATAAAATTTTAAAAAAAATATATATATATATTCATTGCGCCAATATCAAAGCAAAATTGGATATCGATACAGACGAGCTATCCTGCTATTTACCCCAGAAGACCCCCAGAATGAAGTCGTGTTCGGAGAGGTCAGTCCTTTCCTAAATTCCCTCAGGAGGAACACTTTCTCTTTCCTGGAGACACGACAACCATTGGCCAACCTGGGTGGTGGAGCTTTGACGGATTTTACTTTTAATCTCCAGGATATTACGAAGCGGTTTTATTAGTTTCTTTCATTGCTTTATGTAAAATTAATCTACTTCTTATGGGAATGGGGTTTTAATAAGTCATATTACCTAATTAATCAATTCAAATGGAAATTATGTAATAAAATAAATAAATATTACGAAAAACAAACAACATAAAAATAAAGAACAAAAAATATATATATGGTGAATGTTTATTCGTTCTGGTTTTTTAAATGTTATGGAAGAGGTTACAAAACAATAGACTTAAATCATTTTATACTATAATAAGAACAAGATCTTCACCTAATTTAAGTACGTAGATGTTGAAGTACAATCTATTGCTCTATCAAAAACTAACCATCCTAATATATCTATCCCTAACCTAATGCAAGTTTTTTATTTTATTTTATATGGTCTTTCCACGTGTTCTCGCAATAGTTCTAATTCGAATGGAGAAGTGAAGAGGGAAAAATGAATTTTTTAAGAGGAATGGTAGAGGTTTTCAGTCCAATTTTTTTTTTTTTTAGAATTGAACTAAAATAAACAAAAACTCTCGATGTAACCATATTTATATTCCCAAATATGAATCAAAAGTATTTGAGACATTTCGCTTTTTTATTTTTAATTTGTAACCTAATTTTACCCGACGAATACAAATTGCAAATTACTGCATGTACCCAATCGAATGGTACTCCTGAACAGATATCGAATCTGTTCTTGTGGAAATCTCTGAACGTTAATAAATATTAAACATATATTCTCTATGTAACATAAGATAAGATTGAATTAATTGAAGATTTACAGGGTCGATGTTAACACATTTCGCACTTTGGCTAGTTGGGGATATCCCTCTCCGACATTACACGATGACATTGGCAGTACTTCGCGAACGTGCTGCGACGAGCGATGATAGGGAACTCTTCATAGGAAGCCCAACCTATTCTCGGTACCGTGAGCTCATCCCTGATCCGCGATCAGCTGATAGCGCACGAACACAGCGCATGTTAATGTTGTTTGATTGCAGTCATCGAGTAGTTCTAATCATCAATTACATAAACAGTAACACTTGCTACCTTGATAATTCCACATTTCTTTATTATATTTCACGAGTTATCATTTTATATAAGAGCGTCATGATGATGGATTCATCCTCAACAAAAATAAAGTTGGTTTAAGCTTTTTCAGGGGGAACCTTTTGAACTTTTGCGGAAGAGGGGAGGGGGAGCACATTTAGAAAGAGTTATGAATTGTCGGGAGCATTAAATTCCGGCCCTCATCTCTTGCCCTCGTAAGCCGAATAGCGTAAGAGTAATTATATATGATGAACGATTTTTGTAATTATACTTTGGCATGCACTGTTTACAAGAAGAGTAGAGCAATAAAAGTTTTTCGGAGGAGAGAAAAGAGGTTTATGTGGGAGATGAGCATCCCTGGATTCATTAATTCATTAATAAATCTGTATTCACCAACATGCACCAGACAAAATGGTTTTCATCATTGCCCTAAGCAAACGAAAACATGGTAAAAGATATTTCAACCTTTAAGACAAACTACCAAGTTCACTTCGGGAACGGAGGAGGTACAGGGTTTTCATTCATTACAAATTTATCAAGTAATGATCAATGAAAGTAGAAAACCGGTTTTTCCTAAATTTAACGACAGTTAAAATATCACTTTTTTTGAGGCCACAGCGACTTCAATAAGAATAAAAATTAGATATATTATTTTAATATTTTTTGTTGATAACAGCGTATATGTATACATAATGAATTCAGCACAGCAAATTTAGAAAGAGGAGTGTTTCAATAATTTAGAAAATCCGCAAAGCAGTTCACTGCCTCTGATATAGAGTGACAGAGTGGCATCCATTCCAGGAAAACTAGCTACGTGACCAAATACAGGTGTGTTGATATTGTCCCAATATCATTAACATTCAAAGGTGTTTTAAGTAAATTAGCTTAAAGTATTGCGGCTGAATTCCAGAGCGGGGTAAATATAATTCACCTTGGTCGAGCTTAGGAGTGAACTTTTTAAGTAATTCTCTAGCCAAAAGCATTGAAAAAAAATCCGCCCACCTTACGTGGCTCTTCTTCGATAATAATGGATCGATTGTTTTGAGATTTGTTATCGATGTCGCAGGGCTCCCGAGCATCATCCTTGGAACTCGATATCGCCATCTCCTTTTCCTCCTAAAACCTATGTTACTGTGAACCTGTGTAAAATTTGAAGCGGATGTAACCCGCGAGGTACATGTTGTACTTTCAGGGCCTCCGCTAAGAGCAGATATATCACCTCATCATAGCGAGCAGGGAGCGATGGGAAGGTGGTCTCTCGGACCGGTCTGTCCTCCTACAGTGTTGCCAACCCCGAGCAGTCTTCTTCTCTTTGGCCTTCCTATTGTAAGGTCCAGGTCGGGGCACTGTGGACCATCGCCTCCGATAAAAATAGCGAGGGGGCGTCAATATTGGTCGTCCCCCCGATCGCCAATATCTCGCATGGCAAAAATAAAATCATAATTAATAACGGCTAATCTACACGAATCAATAAAATATGTAAACTGAAATCTATTAAGAAAATAGGAAGTCGACTAGAATGGCTAAGTGAAGGCCTAGAAGTAGCTACGCAAGTATTTCAATTTATAGTTCCTATAATTTATTGGAAGTATTATTTTATGTTTAAAGATATTTATGTATAACGACATATTGTAGGATTTTATGATTTATTTATGTCCACCCTTCCATTTTTCAAATATATTTATAAGTAAAAAAATAACGAAATTGAAAAAAAAAAAACTAATATGTAAATTAATTTTTTTATATATTAAAATATTGTTCGTTTTAGAGAAATTACATTGCTTGTGTTAATTTTAAACACGATATACAATATAACCTCCAGAGACTTTTTTGGGGGGAATTGAAGCCTGCGCCTATGTTTCATAGTCCTTCCTCGGGCTCCACTTGAGGGCTCCATCAAAAAGATATACTTTTATCCATCTCAATGAAAAAGTACTCCTTTCATAAGATCTGATCGCGGAGAGCAAATTCCATATTTCCTCTTTTCTAAAACATTTGCAAGAAAACGCGTCAAAGTATCGATTGAGCATCGATTAAGGGAAGGTAGTAACGGTACTATTTAAGTAAATAACCTTGTTGTTTAATTGGCGGGTTTATATAGATCCGATTTTTAATATCCAAAATATTTTAATCCATATGTTGACACAGTTTTTTCCTTTTCGCCTCCCTACTACGGCATCGCGTTAGGATACAATTTTGAATTATAGCCTATTACAGAGAGGATGAAATAATGAACAATTTCCTCGCTTACAGTATGCAGCCCCGATTTATAGTTTCTGAGTTATTTTAATCAATATGTAAAAAAAGTATAATTAGTCGACTTTATCCGAGTGTTAATGCCAAAAGAAATCTGACGGATCAATCTAATTCACTCTCCACGAAATAGCGCAAAACGCGCCTAAAGAAAAATGTTCACGTCAAAAATTCTCGGCAGTTTACATACTATATAAAAATTATGAGTGATAATTAACATAATCATTGTGAAACAAGCAATATAATATTGTTGTTTCTTTTTTGCTTAGGGTATATTTAAAAATGTTTTTATAAAAATATTAAATATTATTATTTTTATTTAAAGGTTTGAACATAAAGATTTATTTATTAGTTATTTAATAGTTAGAACAACCCTCTGTTGCTTCAAATTTGCCACGAGTAATGTGATGAAATCTTCACGTAGAAATGGAAGGTTGGACATTGATGAATCATAAAATGCTGGGATATGTTGCGACATAAAATAATATTTAAATATAAACTAAAATTCCAATAATAGGAAGATAGGGCATAGCAAAATATTTGCGTACCTACTTAGCGTAGCTTAGCGATCTAATCGACTTTTCCTATTTTCTGAATCGATTTTATTTTAGATGTTTTATTCATCCAAGAGCATTAATCGCTATTGATTGTTATTTTTTTTTTAAATTTGGGGAGAGCAGGAGATATTCCCGCGCCCTCTCTTTATTTTATTGGAGAGAAATATCTCTCCTGCAGTTTGCGCCTGTTAAGACTTAAGTTACTACTTAAGACCAAGCTTAAAAATCAAAACAGTAAATCACGGATTACTTCTAATTTAAATAATAAACAATAACTTTTGACCATATTTTATATATAATAAAAAACAAAATCAAGATATCTTGAGCAAATAAAAATATCCTAGGCAGGTTTTTCTAAATAGTGATATTTACATCAATTCAAGCATTTTAATCGACAAAAATTGTTCGTATCTAAGCTCTGAACTCAAATATTTATAATCAATGTGAAAAAATCTTCTTTTCGAAATAAACATCGAATTAGTTTAATAGCTAAATATTATTCCTTAAAACAGACGGACTTTTCAGTACTACTACACAGTTTAATCGATATGTATATGTAAATCGAGCAGTATAATAGTATTTGAATGGATTAACACCATCGACTCCTGTAACTACAATTGGTTTGATGTGAATAGTAGCGAACAGTTTGCTGACATACTGTCGCGGCAGCGTGAAGTGGCGATCAAACATTCGTTGGTGTAACACAAGGTTAGCTGCATGGAACCCTGTTCTGCGCAGCAAACACTTCAGCCACACTTCGGAGGATCGGCCAACCCCGACGAAAATCGATCCAGGGCACTAATAGCCAAAGCCAGTATAATCCTATGATAACAGCAGTTAGTTTTATTTGTTTAAGGGTTTGTATTTATATATAAGAATTCTAATTTTTATATTACTGTAATCTATACAATTAAAACTTAAAAAATATCAAAGCTAGCATTTATGACAACCACACCTATTACACAGGGGAATCTACGGGGGGAGGGCTAAGGGGGTGAACCCCCCTCCAAAGAGGTAAAATGTAATCTGTCATATAAAAACCATCTCTAAAAGTATTATTGTTCGTGTAATTACATTTAAGAATTACTAGGATTTCGAGAATTACTTAAATACTATTTCATATAGGTTGTTAGTTCATTTAAGTTTCTTCCAAAGTAATTATCGTTATATTTATATATAAAAAAGCTACCGAACTTAAGCTCGCTCCCTCTCCCCAAAATTAAATCCTGGATCCATTAGTAATAATGCGTAACATTCAGTTCTCCATAACTCGCATCCTCTCAATGGCACGAAGAGGTTAAATAAATAAATAAATATTGATTTTGCTATATATATAAACTGGAAATAAAACATGATGGTACGATTTTATTTTAACCTGTATGCTATTTAGAGAAATAATAAGTATTTAGTTTGAACATTGAAGAAAAAGATATTGACTTCCAAGTTTGATTTTTAATATTATTTTTCACAAATCTCGCAACTACCAATTTTGATTTTTAATATTCTATTTTCAATTAATTAAGTGAAATTTCAGTTTGCGACGTTGTCACATATCCTCTTCCAGTGTTGTCAAATATCGTCACGCATCACTAGAACTTTGCTAAATAGCTCAAGTCGTGTATTTATAATTATATATATTTGAATTAAATATATATAGTGCTACCAGGAGGCAGTTTCTCTACAAGTCGTTTCATGTTATTATATTCTCGTGTTCACATTTACTGAATGTATTTTTATTTCTATACAGTTGTAAATATCATTAATAAAATATATTTAATTAAATATATTTTAAGACATTTAATTTTTTTTTTTTTTTATCAAGGGATCAAAAAGGAAAATATTTTTAATTCAAAGAATAGTGTGAGAAACGCCCTATCCGCCCTAATCATAGTTTTTCCCTTTTCCTTCTCCGAGAGTCAAGTTAAATATTAATTAGTGAAGATCGGTATAAACTAACTGAATCCAATAAAAATGATTTAGATGGCATCCTAAGGAGTAAGAATTGGAGTTGTAATATAGAGGAGAGTATTAAACTAGAAGCGTGGTAACAATTAATATTATGGTCCCCTCACTAATCACCACGTGTTCTCTCATTAGCGACCTCTGGATGATAATATATTCAACGATAATTATCGGAGTAACAAATGAGTTTCTAGGGGTCCGGATTCCTTCCTTCAGTTTTACAAATTGTAACAACAACAAGAAACACAATTTTAAGAAAATATAGTATCAGTGTTGTGTCTTTCGCACGCATGCGTGAAGATGTGTGCGGTAAATTATAACTTAACATTATCTTCCTACATAAGTAATTAATAATTTAAAATTATATTTCGTCAGGATTTTCTCCGAATACTTGTGTATGGGCCGATCCTCAGCAAGTATTCGATATAATAAATGAATTTAAATTGAAAATCCAGACAATTAACAACTTAGTTTAATAAAAAAATACATAATGTTATAATTAAAAACATCCAATCACACAGCCTCGTTTTTGTAAAATTCAGGTAAACAACAAAATATCTCAACTACGTTTGGCCAATACAGGCATCAAAAGGGCACGAAAATAACAAAATAAATCAAGATGGAATCACTCCATAACATCCAGACAGAAATGGAGGTACTCTTGTTTGTGTTTATTTTCTGTCTGTTTCATTGAGTGTTCTAATTATAGCCAAATATTTACAATTTTGAAAGAACTGTTAAAACAATTAACTTTATATTTTTATTTAGAAAACCTATGTTTCCGCCTGAGGATGACCTATGTACTAAGGCCGAAACATCGATTGTATAAATAAAAATCTTGATGTTCTATTTTTATTTTTTTGTATTTCATCAGCTTCCCCTTTAACATGATGGTGTACCAAAAGTTTGCCCTTTAAGCTCTCCCCTAAACACTTCTGATATCCCTGGAAATCTTTGCACACCCACATACTTTCCTCGTACTCCACTCTTTCTATTCCTTCCTTTCCACTGCTATCTCTTCCCCATCCCTGCTACCCCTTCCCCCTCCCTGCTATCTTTTCCTTCTTCTTGCTATTCGGCAGAATTCGGTTAAAAGAAAGTGTCCTAGAGATCCCTGATTTATCATTTATAGAAAACATATATCGAACCTAGCGAAGAAACAAAACATCGACAACACATCTGATAGCCCTATAGGAGCAACAGCAGTAAACAGATAATTCTTATTATTTACCGATATGCTGATAGCCATCTTATGAAGTTAACTTAAGCTTTAAGGTACGGCTGTAGATAAGAAGGTACCAAATCGCCCGGACTCACTGTGAAAGATATGTTAATAGCCATTTTATAAAGTTAACTTAAGCTTTAAGGTACGGCTGTAGATAACAAGGTACCAAATCGCCCGGACTCACTGTGAAAGATATGTTAATAGCCATTTTATAAAGTTAACTTCGGTAAGGTTGTAGATAAGAAAGTAGGCACCCCCCGGACTCACTGTGAAAGATGTTCCTCCAGCTGCCGGAGAGGACGCGGAGGCACTTGTGCAAGGTGTTGTTGGGGACGACGACGGGGAGCGATGCCTCGGAGGCGGTGAGGTTGGACTCGGAGCGACTCCTGGACAGGTTGCTCCGCCTCTTCTGCTCCACCGTGGCCAGGTCGTCCTCCGCCTCCCGGTAGCTCCGGTAGGTCACTTCGTGCAGGGTGTCGTCCGCCGCGCAGGCAGAGTCCTTCCTCCTCAACCTCATGGTGCAGCTGTGCCCGCGGGTGCTACACTCTCTGCGTCCTCTGTTCTAGGTGTCAAGGGAAAGCGGTTGCACCTATAAGACATTGGTTCATGTTGGTACAACGTTATACATCAGCCACTACAATCACCTTCGACATGCCGGTGTTCTCTTTCCACTTCAAATTCCAATCAATTTGAAGTAAAATAAAAAATACCAGAAATAACATAAATCTTACTGTCTAAAATTTCTACAGAACAGTACTGTTATGTTAAAAAAACGCTGCAAATTATTTCACAATGGTTTATTATTTCCAAACAACTATATATCTAAAGTAACATTATCTTCCTAGTTACAATGAAAAATAAAAAAAAGGTGATACCAATTATTGGACTGAACTTTTTTTTTTAATCATTAGTAATATGCGAAAAGAAAAATAGCATTACTTCAGTAAAACATTCAAAATTTAAAACCAAACAAAGGATATAACATTTGGAATACAACATATAAAAAAAAAAACTGGAGACCATATCTTTCCTCCTAATTGTCCGATTTTAACAATTTTTTTTTTTTTTTTTTAAAGGAATTTCGTAAACTTTTGAAAAACCATATACAATATCGACAAAAAAGTGTATGCTTTTTGAGTTATTCAGAATTAAATTTTGCCATCCCTCGTAACTTTTTTTTCCAGGTTCTTTTCGTTGAAGTATGTTATATAGATGAATATAGAAGAAAATGACTTTAGCGAAGTTTCATTGAAATCGGTACATTCGTTTAGGAGCTACAGTCTATAGCAACGCAGGTTTTTCGGCCGCCATTATGAAAGTAAAAGGCGGATAGTAATATCGATGAAGGAGTATCATCCTCGGGTGACTTCTGATTTTATTTGAAAAAAATAGGTCCAGTAGTTTAAGAGAAAATGTGCGGACGGCGGACGAACCACAAATTTTTATTCGTTTTTTGAATTCTACGCATCCTGAAACGTGAAACCTCAAATTTTGAGAGGGGTTAAGTTTTTGAATTTTTTAGTCGCTCGCAATGGTTGATTATTGAAAATAATAAACCAAAGCTGACTAACATTAAATTAAAAGTCGAAATTATGATTTTATAATTTTTTTTTTTTTTTACAGAACTTTTGCATTATTTCGTATTAACAATTAAATACTTTACCATTTCTGGCTGCAGGTACGACTACAACCCATGAAGGGTTCAGTGGGTTCAGTACTTGGTAAAATAGTACTGCTTCTTGGTAAACGACCGAGATCACTCTCAAAAGCCATATTAGTTATTTAATCAAGGGTACCCGATTAATAGATCTTGCGTGAGCTCCAGGAGGGTATTTCAAACCGAAGTTCAATCTAAGACCGATGAAACAGAATAAATAACTTATCTGCTATCATCCGGATAGGGATAAAATCAAACTGGGACTTCGAGCATTGGAAGTAAACACCAAAGAGCTACCCCATTACCACACTTTTCCATTGATTGAAATTTAAAAAAATAGTCAATCTATAACATACAGTTTTCATAAATAGCATGTAATATCCATCTACACTGTAATGATTGAATATAAAACCGCGTTGAGGTGAAAAAATTTGTTTTCTTCTAAATTTCTTCTTAATTTTTATGAACGACAGATGTCAATTGCTTTGTAATGTTCATTTTTTTTTTTTTATATCTGGAAGGAAAATTTTGATTAAAGCCAATCAGGGAATTCTTGTTCGTAACTGCGATTTGTATTTCGGTAAACGGATTTTTTTTTCACACATGATAAATTCCTCGTTAATGTTAATGTTTAAACATTTAAACATATATATATATATATATATATATATATAGTGATATCGTCTACAAGCATACCTAAGAGGTATGACAGTAATTGACGCCAAACGTTGCGCCGTTAGCTACAGAGGAGTGCTCAGTACTGTTACAACTGTGCACCGCTCTGATATGTAATGGTCCTAACCACCATTTTCTGCCAAGTAGTCCAAGGGACAACAGCAACGCAATTTGGCAGAAAATAAGGGAGGAATGACAATACATGGAAACTTTTACAAACCAGTTGTTAAATTGAATATTTACAAAGAAATCGCAACTAAACAGCAAATGAAATGAAAATTTAAGAAAACTGACTCCTCAGGCTTGAAGAATTTATCCACACGTAAGGCATTTTTTTATTTGTATTTCATACTAAGACATCAAGTAAAATTATAATATACAATCCCAATTTGAATTATGTTATCATTTATTATTTCCTAATTAATATTAAGTAGATTCAATAAATTCACTAATTAACCATATTTTTCTTTGATGGTAACATAATTAAATAAAAGTTACTCTAAATGAATAAAATAAAAACAATATAATCAAATATCAGATAAAACGTACATAATGGCGATAGTTAAAAACAGTACTGTTCTGAAGAATTTTTTTTCTGGACTGCAAAATTCCTTTAATTAAATATATGTACAAAATTGATAAAATATACAAATATTTTACTGTTGTAAAGATGGGTTAACACTGATTTATTCATAGGTCTTAGAAGAATTTCAGCCGTACACTAGTCTATTAATAACTAATTTTAATTTTGGACTTTTCTAAAATTTTGGTCAAAATTAATGTTAATAATAATATTATGTAAAACAAAATACATTTTTTAAAAAAATAAATCATGGTGGTGAGTACCGTCCTTCTCTGACATGTCATTATATCTTCTATTTTCAGTACATATATCTGATTGTCGTCAATTAAAACAATTTATTTATATTCAATTTTACGTAAATTATAAATTATACTCCAAATACTTTTTGGATCTTCACCTCACAAAAGGTTTATAAAAAAAAATAATTGTATAAGAAGAATGTTTTTATTTAAGACCATTCTTCTAAGACGCATGTTTTCTACAAAGAATTCTGGCAGTTCCAGAAACAAACGAAATTGAGTATAATTTAACAAAATTGTGATTAAAGATAATTGCAAGGCGTGGCTGGTTAGTCCTCAGGGTTCCCTGAAGGCATTACATTACAAATTCTCTTGGAAGTGAGGAAAATATATTTTAAAATACAATACACTCAGTCTTTTCAGATTTAAAAAAGAAAACTTTTTAATACAATGAATTATAACTAAGATTCCAATCAGCAAATAATATTTTTAACATATATACATTAAATTAGAAATACAATTATTACATAAAGTTAAGTATACATTTACTTATGGTTAACAAATTTCAACATTATTAGTAATACTTACAATATGATTAATGCTTTCTATATTATTAAATAAAAGTAATTAATTAATAATAAAAATATACATTGGAAAAACTATAATATTTATTTATATAATCAATGTGTAATAAAGACTGTTTATTTAACACACAATTAGTGAAACTACATGCGTTATCATCATTTCGTCAAACTAAAAGTTCACATTACAAGCAATTTGTTTGCCGCGATGGAAAATATATCTTAAGTTTAACTGTAACTTTTTCAATAGATTTTTAGTTCACCATTTAATATAAGAGATGTTTAAAAAAGTTATAAAAACAAAGAGGATTTAAACATTTGTTTTGGATAACCTAAAAAAAGAGCTGCCTGATAAGCTTGCCATGGCAACCGCAGCTTTATCCTTATCTCAAGAACGGTAAATTTTTTGAGGCTTTGAAATGCAGAACCTTCGTGTCTGCCTCGATTTTTTTCAACTTCTCCGTTACGTTTTTATATAATTTTCATTAAAACTGTATGAATTTAAGAATCGAAATAACTGATTTCTTGATTTTCATCATTAATATTTCTTTGTACATTTAAAAAAAAAAAATGTTTATACATTTTATTATTATTACTATTTAATTAGGTCTTAATCATGTATGTATATACATAAATAATAATGAAACTATATAAAAAATAAATCAAAAATAGAAAAACAAATATTTATAAAAACATATTTTTCTACCTTATCTATTCTATGTATCTATTCTATTAATGGTTACTTATCTTTCGCACTATTACTCATAGCCCTTAGGTGTGGCAGAACGTATTATTATTTAATTAATAAACAAATACCTTCAAAACAAAAGTTTGTTAAATACCATCGTTTCTGATAGCAGGGAATTCGATCTATACTACTGAATTTTATACATATTGTGTTATATATATAATAGTATATAAAATGTTATAAATAAATAAAAGATCTTCGGTTTCTTATTTGCCGTTCCTTATGCAACGATTATGAAAAGAGGTGATGTGTTCAGGGATAGTCTTCAGCCCTGAGTCGATATAAAAGCAAATATTTAATTACAGAAAAGCGTTATTTACTTAACAGTTTTTTAATATAACGAGATATTTATGACGTGTGGTTACGTAAAGTAGAGGTTTATGGCAGTGCAAGGGCAGACGGTGCGAACAGAGCAACGCGGAAAATATCAACAGCCGAGCCATTTATAACAGATTTTGCATAAACACTACCGTAAAAGGCAATTATTGTATCCTTCAGAAAGGATAAGGTAATTATGTTAAGGCGGCGTCAGTTATATAACGGTACGCGGCGATACGTCCAGCCCTGTCCTGTTCTCGTTCCACTCGATCTGCCGGGCGGTTAGGGTAGGTTGTACTATCTATATAGGAGCAGGGCGTAGCTGTCCAGGTTCCATTATCTTCAAGTCAGTGGGAGGTTATCGAAACTGTGGGATTTGTATATGAGACATTGCAGGGTGGAATAACAGTTTAAGGATGTAGATCAAAGAAACAGTACGGGTATCAGAAGATAGATAAGAGTGTATTAAGGGAGTAAATAAAACTATATTCCAAATATAAATAAACCTAATTTTTAGTATGCCACCAATAGGGAAAATGAGCGGCGAGACGAAACATTGATAGTACTAGGTTATAATTGAAAAATTCCAATCACACAGCCTTACGTTTCCAAAATGCGACTAAAGAATAAAAAAAAAAAAGTCAATATTTAGCAAATTCAGCGACCGTCAGGACAGAAAAGAAAAACAACAACCTGAAAATCATGCGACTCCATGACATTGAACTGCACACCGGAAGAGATAAGGTAACACAGGCGAGGAAAGGTAAATATGTTCTGTTAATTATAGGACTCGC